ATGTGAGAAACATTTGATATTACCTATATATATATATATATATATATATATATATATATATATATATATATATATATATATATATATATATATATATATATGGAGCTCATATTGCCACGGTAAATTTTGATCTCTCCATTGAAAATCTATATAGATGGACAATTATACCCTTATTTATTAAGAGAGAGAAATACCAATCTTTTTTCAAAAAAGGCACACGCCTAAAAACTCCAAACCACACACAACAAACATACAATTCTTCCTCACTTGGTGTCTTGGTGCTGCTCCGTTTAATTCTTTTAACCACCTCGGTACAAATAATAGCCGGCAACTGACGGTGCACATGGATTGGAAAAGTTTCAACTTTCAATTCAACAAGTGTAATGCTTTCATTAGAAGCCAACAGAGCCATGGTGGGTGATGGTGGTGGAGCTTCTTATTTTGAGCTGTAAGTGCAACTTGAAGTGGTGAACACCATCAGAAGAACATGGGTGTTGATATCACATAAATTTCCAAAAAAAACCTTATTTTCTTTTCTTCTCACTACAAGAATACGGAGCTATGCCGACGACACTTATCCCGACGACTCATGTCGTCGCTACAAGTCCAGTTATGCCGACGACATGTCGTCGCCACACCTTTTGCAAACTTTGACTAAATTCCTTTGACCTGGATATCTGTGCCGACGACAAGTCCTCGCTACAAGTCTGGCGGGAACGACAAAATTGTTCGCGGTATTCTGAAACTTTAAACCGACGATTTGTCGTCGGGATAGGTATAGAAAAATCTATTTTCTATTTATTTTTATTCCATGTTCCAGAAATACAGTACGACGTAGTTTTATGTAATCTATACCGACGACACATCGTTGGCATGCCACGTGGCGATCCGCGTGAAACGTCTATCCCGACGACTTGTCGTCGGCACATGTTTTTAATTTTTAATTTTTTTTTGTTTCAGCAAAAAAATGAAACGACATCGTTTATATAGACCCTATACCGACGACATGTCGTCGGCATATGGGTTTACCCTAAAAAAACGCAGTCGTTCGTTCATTTGCACACAACGACGCAGGCTCTCCTCTCCGACGAAAATCACATTCTGCCTTCCATAACCGACGATTAGCACCGGGTAACATCTTTTCTACTCCTAATTCGTTCTTTATTGCTGTGTGGTAAAGCTCTACCGACGTCCTGTCGTCACAATAGGGGGAAACTATTCCGACGACATCTATGCCGACGACCATATTGACCTATGCCGACGACATGTCGTCGGGATAGGGTCCGAAATTGTCGTCGCCATAGGGGGTTAATGTTGTAGTGTCTCTTCGTGTGATACAAACCCATCAGGTGGGTCTTTTTTTTTTTTTTTTAGTTTCTTTCGTGTACTTCTATAGCAGGGAGTGAGAGGGATTTATCCAGCAATGTGATCCAATGATTGTAATACAAAGATGTTTTTAAAGATGATTATGATCATTATCGGATATAAGTTGCGACGACTAGAGCAATAAACGAAAATCCATTCATATGGTGCTTGTCGTTGGTCGCACAGCCGATGGTGTTACATGAATGAAAGTGATAAATAACGAAGACACAACCATTGGAAATACAACAAGCATCAACATGCTTGGGCTTCCATGTTCCATCAGATGGAGTATGGAAACACATGAGAAGGACATAACGAAGTAACCAGACAAGAACATAATAGCTCCGGCCAAGTAAACCACGAAAGACCTAAGCTGAAAAGAGACGATCCAGATGATGACAAACGTGCTCTGATTTTGTTGATTTTGTTATCAATAATGCGATGGTATATAAAACCATATAATACACCGATATTGGCGCCAAAATTCTTGAACACGGAGATGGTGTCGAGAGCGATTGTACCCTCGACCGGATGAAACGTCAATATGCTGGCCACTGATGCCTGTAATGATTCTTGTTTATGCTTCTTTATAATAGTTGTAGAACAACGAATTGACATTAGATGATGGGGCGTGGTAAGAACCTGATGTGCCTTTTTTGAAACACAATTTTGGATACAAGATAAATTTTTTTCATTACATTCTTAGAAAAGAAAAAAAATTATACTATTCTGTGATAATGTTACACTTACTAATAACAAGGAAACACAATATATAAATCATTCTACCAGAATATATTATTACATATAGTTTTTTCATTATATTGTAGATTATTTTTCTAGAATAATTCATTCTTTTTGGAAGATTGGTGGTCATTGTTCATCTTCATCCCATACAATGTTATCCAGCCTTTAGGACCTCCCCTTTCTCGTTGGTTCATTTCTAGCATCTTGTCCCCTAAGCCATTTCAAAATACGCTCACATTCTATGAGATTGACATTCTAAAACAAAATTCACACAAAATCATACAAAACTCTAATAAGAACATATCGAGAAAGAGACCGGTAGGTAAGTGAACTTACGAGATTACATTAGGTGGTGTGTTTGGTAATTCACTACTTAACTTAACTTGAAATTCAAGATTCTATTAAGACATAATCAGTATTCAAGATTCCATTCTAGTTGTTGTAAGGTTCATATGTACCCTATTTTGCTTCGATATCTCTCGTTGTTTCAATTATCTAAATATAAAGAATAATCGACATTAAGAGGCATTAAAAAAAACAAAAACTAACAAGATAAAGAGAAAAATGACTACACAATTGACATATCGGTAACTTGCAGCTACATCATTTGCAGAAACATGAATAACATCAATTGAACCATTTTGAGTTCCCAAAGCGACCACCATCCTTTGAGATATAATTATAAACTAAAAAGGAAAACAATCAGTTTGAAAGATAGTGAAATCAAAATTAAAATAATAAATTATACGATAAACAGTGCAAGAAGAAAAGCTCGGTTCTAGTCACAATTTTACCCTTTGCATTCTTTCACTTTTTGAACCTTCACCACCTTTAAAATCATACTCTTTTTTCAGCCCAGTGAGAAATATGGAATATGTCAAGATTATGTCCATGAATAGATTTGCAATTGTGGGTAAAAAGAGAATAACTGCAGTGTTAAGTACCTGTTTGTGTGATAAACAATAGTCCCAAACAGTTTCATCATACCCTACATACAGAAAAAAAGAGAAGATCCAATCAGTTTATGATGACAAGGTAAGAAAGTAATTAATTATCATAGAATTAGCTTAATTAGGTTAAAGGAGAAGGCACAAGTAGAAACAACAAAAGAGAAAAAAAGTCAATATGTTCAAAGATCTATCAACCTGCATCTCTTGCCTTCTTAACCTAGGGCTACTACTAATTCGGAAACAAACACAAACTTTTCAAGTTCCCAAACACCCTAGTGTAAATCATTTCTCCGAACATCCATACATTCGGATTGTAAACATCGATACAGTCATTGAAACTTCCGTACGGTGGTTGACGGGCAGAATTGGGCGGGGATAAGAGGGCAGCGTGTGGCCGAGGGAGGATAACAACGGTGGTGTTTGGAGTCTTGCCGTTAGGTTCGTTGTCGGAAAATGTTTTGCCGCAGCTGTAAAGAGGGACGACGAAGGTGTGGGAGATTTCGGATTTGCAAACGGGGCATGGCGGATTGGTGCCGGAATCGGTGGTGAAAGATAACCATTTGTAGATACACGACCAATAATAGAGGTGGCCACAAAGAGTGACCACCAGATCTTTAACGAAGTCGAGGCAGATGCTACAGTCGAAGCAGGGCAAAAACTTGTCGGGTTTCCGGCGGCGGGAATAAAGTTGATCGAGCCGTTCTTCCTTCCTTCTCTCTGTATTTAGGGCACTGCATCGGTAGTGAGTGAAGATTTTGGATACGGGAGGACCGATTCATAGGGTTAATAAGATTTTATCGGAACTGCCATTAAATGATTTCTATATATAACCATGTTTATTTTTGGTTTAAAAAATTAATATATACAAGATTACTATTATATCATTATATTATTTATTATTTATTTAATTATTTTTTTATTTTTGATTGGTCCACAATCATCCTTACATCCACACAATAATTAGTTAACTAGCTCTATATATATATATATATATATATATATATATATATATATATATGTGTGTGTGTAAATCACATCTTCAACAAGGGTCCGTGGGATCGGGAATTGAAGTGGTGCTTCAATAAAGCAACCGGTGGACTGTTGACTCCATTATTTGTGCTGCACTTTACACTTCGTAGTGCTCTTAGTACCCCAGATCATGCGTGTAACACATTATAGATACAGTCAAAAGGTAAATATGGATGTGATTTTGTATTATTGTTGTCTCTCTTTAAAATGGAAAAAAGTACTTTATTTCCATTCATCCAAATCCATGGTACGCAACATCAATAACTGAGCCTTGTTCATATATTGGCCTTCTTGTTTACAATTCGAATCACTTGTTCACATACACACTTTACTAAGCAGCAAAAACAGCAAGCATTAGAACAGGCGGATATAGTAGAGCGAGGTACGTTTTTGTTGAATCACTTGTTTTCTTTGTTTGAATCTATCGATCCTTGATGAAATTATCTGGAAAAAAAGTGTTTGCTTTGCTACTCGTTATTGATTATTTGTGTATGCTCTACAGATAAAATCAACTAAATGTTTAAATGAATGGCAATGCCTCCTCATTTTCCTTCTCTTGATTATTGAACAATGTTTTGGAGGAATAGTTTTTTTTTGGACGAATGCTTCCACGTTGAGATCAATTCTATAGCCCTAATAAATCCCCTTAATTGATATCCTAATTGAAGGCACGATATTTTTTCCTCATCTCTCACAACCTTACCTTTTATAGCCAAACGTGTTATGTGTTTTAATTCCTAAATCCTGAAAGGAAACTTAATTTTATAATAGTAATTATCTATGGATTATACTATATGATATTTGAAAAAAGTTAGCTAGGCAAGTTAATAATGAAAATATCCATGGATCAAGGTATACTAATTAACAACTTTTAACAATTTCATCCCCTTTTTTATCTGGTACATGGTTTGCAGGTCTGTGTAAAAGCTAAAATATTGAAAGATGGAGTTTGTATCTGCAATCATCAGTCCTATTATCATCGACTCTTTGATGGTTCCAGTCAAGAAACAGTTGGGATATATATTTTCCTCCACAAAACATGTTAGGAACATGAATACTAGAATGAAGCAACTAGATGGTACAAGCCATGATGTAAAAAATCACATGGAAACAAACAACATAAGTAATCTGGAGATACCTTCTCGTGTAACAGGGTGGTTGGAAGATGTCAAAAAGGTTAAAGAAGATGCTAAAAACATTTCAAATACCGGGACCGGATGTTTTAACATGAAAATGAGGTATCGAGCGGGAAGGAATGCATTCAAGATCACGGAGGAGATGGAAAGTCTTATTGATGAAAATAGTAAGATAATTTGGAGTGATGCTCAAAAACCTCTTGGGAAAGTGAACTCGAAAATCACATCCTGTTCTGCACACTCGGATGGTGATGCCCTCCAACAAAATCACTTCAAATCGAGAGAGAAGTCTTTTAAGAAAGCCTTCGAGTCCCTCCAACAAGATCACACAAGCAAAGTGATAGCCCTATGTGGAATGGGTGGTGTTGGGAAAACCACAATGATGGAACAACTGAAAAAGACTGCAGAAGATAAGAAAACGTTTGATTATGTTGTGAAGGTGGTTATTGGGCAACAAATTAACATGTTTTCTATTCAACAAGCTGTGGCAGAATACATGGGCCAATTCCTCACAGAAACTAGTAACACTGCAAGAGCAGATCGTCTTCGTATAACATTTGGGAACCTTCCAGAAGGTAGAAGAAAGGTTTTACTGATATTAGATGATGTGTGGGAAACGATTGAACTCAAAGATATTGGATTAATTCCTTTTCCCAATGGCTTCAAGTTGTTGCTGACATCACGAAATCAAAATATTTGCAATAAAATTGCAGTAGAAGCTGATTCGGATTTGACACTAGTTAGAGTGGATGTGATGGAGGAGCTCGAAGCACAAAACTTCTTTTGGCAAATCACAGGAGTTTCAGAACAACATGATGTGGAGCTCAATCAAATTGGATGTAAAGTTGTCAGAAGATGTGGTTTTTTGCCCCTTGCCATTAAACTTATTGCCACAACCCTTAAGTCGCAAGAAGTGTTTGTATGGAGAGATACGCTTCAACATTTGAAGAAGAAAAATCTAGATGACAGCGTGCAAGAAGTTATTGAGATAAGCTATAACTATATAAAAAAAGAGGAGGAAAAAGCGATTTTTCTTCTGTGTTGCTTGTTTCCTGATGACTTTGATATTCCAATCGAAGAACTCACAAGATATGCTTGGGGTCTACAGTTGTTAAGTGAAGTTTCTACTTTGGGAGATGCAAGAGACAGGACAAAAACATGTGTGCAGAATCTCAAAAGTGCAAATTTGTTGATGAATAGTGATGATGATGGGTGTGTCAAAATGCATGATCTTGTGCTTGCTTTTGTGTTAGGTAGAGTTTCTAAAGGTGACCATCCATGGATAATCAACCATGGTGATATTTCAAAGTGGAGTAGAGCTTGCAAAAGAGTTTCTATTACTTGCACGGGTATGTCTGAGTTTCCCAGAGATTTTTGGTACCCGAACTTATCTCTTTTGAGACTTATGCATGGAGATAAGTCGCTTAGGTTTCCTGAAGATTTTTATGAAAGAATGGAAAGTCTTGAAGTTGTAGCATATGAAAAAATGCAGTACCCATTGATTCCCAGATCACTTCAATGCTCCACCAAGCTACGAACACTCATTCTCCATCAGTGCCTATTGATGTTTGATTGCTCTGTTATTGGTGAATTATTGAATCTGGAAGTGCTCAGTTTTGCACATTGTGGCCTCAGAAAGCTACCATCCACAATTGGAAATTTGAAGAAGCTAAAGCTATTGGATTTGACGGGTTGTGTCAATCTTCGTATTGATGACGGTGTCTTGAGAAATTTGGTCAACTTGGAAGAGCTGTATATGAGAGCTGTTGATGGATACGCTATTCACTTCACAGATGGAAATCGTGATGAATTAGCAGAACTTTCACAGAATCTTTTTGCATTAGAAGTTGAGTTCCATTGCTACAAGGTTAAGCCCGAGAATATGTTGTTTACGAAACTTCAAAGGTTCAGGATCTCCATGGGACGTAGTATAGCAGACAATCCGGGCTTAAAGATGCACCCATTCGCAAACACGTTGATGTTGGTCACTAAAAAAGATGAGTTATTGGAATCTCGAATAAATCAGTTGTTTAAGAAAACAGAGGTGCTTTATTTAGAAGTGGATGGTATGAATGTTCTTGAAGAAGTTCTAGTGGGCTCTGTTCCTATTCACCATCAGTCGTTTAATAATCTAAAAATCCTTGATGTTTTCAAGTGTGCAAACTTGAGATACCTCTTCACAGTCCCTATAGCAAGTGGTTTGACAAAGCTTACGCGTCTAACAGTTTCACAGTGCCCTATTCTGGAAGTACTTGCACATAGTGAGAATGGTGGAGCTGGGATCATTAAGTTTCAAGGGCTAAAGTTTCTTTCTTTGGATAGGTTACCAAAGTTTGTAGGTTTTTGCCACACGGTTAATGTCATTGAGCTACCACAGCTGGTGGAGTTGAGACTTGATTGCCTTCCTCATTTCACTAGTATTTATTCTGAGAATACATGTGCAACATCTTCTATGTCCAGTAATAAATCTGCACTTCAACCCTTCTTCAACAAACAGGTACCTCTATAATCTATATTGACATTAATGTTAACAGTTATATATAATTTAGGGCATTCCTCAAGTAAAATATTTTTAATATGATTGCACGATAAATTGATCGGGTGGTGCTGTTGATGATCAACAAGTCTTAATTGTTGTGCAGGTGCTGATTCCTAAGTTGGAGATATTGAAAGTTCAGAGGATGAATAAGCTGAAAGAGATATGGCCTTATCAATTTAGTAGTAGTGACGAAGTTAATGCCTGTTTGTTGAGACAGATTGAAGTGAGAGAATGTGATAATCTTGTGAATCTGTTTCCAACCAATCCCATGTCTTTGCTGGGTCATCTGGAAGAGCTTCATGTTTCATTATGTGGAGGCATTGAAGTGTTATTTAACATCAACATGAGTTGTATTGGTGAAATTGAAGAATTCAGTAGCAAGTTGAGACACATTAAAGTATATAGGTTGGATAAGCTAAGAGAGTTGTGGAGGATGAAAGGTGCAATTAGCTCTGATATCCTTATCCGTAGCTTTCAAGCTGTTGAAAGGATAGATATAGAAACATGTGTGAGCTTTGTAAACGTATTCACTCCGACTCTCACCAATTCTGATGTGAGCACACTTATGAATGTGAGTATAGATGGTTTGAGACCTTGGGAGGAAACCGGGAGAAACATTGAATTGGTTCAGAAAAGCCAAGAGGTATGCAATGTCATTCAGCTTTCTATTTCTATTTCTATTTTGGTGTTAGAGCACTTATTTATATGTGTCTCTATATACACACTCACACTATATATATATGTGAGTGTGTGTACATACATACATATACATATATACATATCACACTACAACAAATTAATCAATTCTACACAATTCATTGGACACTGAAAAGTGTATAAGATTATGAACTTGCATGAAGAAATGTGTCCTGAAAAATTATTTCTGTATCTCTACACTTCAACATGTGATAAAAAAAAAAGTTAAAACTCTGAATTCTAAAACATGGACAAAGTACCCAATATCAGTTCACTTTTAAGTTTGCAAAAGCAGGCTAGATTTCCCACATCGCTAAGTGTGGATCTCTCTCAACCTTCACATTGTTATTTTTACAAATTTATAAGCAATTTTTTTTTTTTTTTTTTTTTTTTTGCTTTGTTATTTCTCTACACCTATGAGCATGTGTGTTTCATTTATTTTAACAATTGTAACTTCAAATATTATTATGTATTATTAAGAGCGACTGAAAATAACAATTTTTGGGTATTTCCATTAAATGCAAAGATTCTACATATTTTTTCTATTGATTAAATGAGTGATCACCCAAAATTATTTATGTATGGTAAAGAATAAAGTACATTACAAATTTAAATTTGTTTCCTTTGTTTACATGTTTTTTTGTTTAAGTCTAAAAAAGATTTCTTTGCTGTTTTAGTCCTTAACTCATCTTTTTAGCATTTTTAGTCCTTACGATAAACTTAACATCTTGATTGTTGAACTTTAAAAATACCCATTTTCCCTTGTTTTTATTTTCTATTATTAGTATTGTTATTATTATTATTTTATTATTAAATTAAAAAATAAAGAAAATTTATATATCATCCTACCTTTTGTTCCTATCTATTTTCCTACTCATATAAAATAATGACATGTGGAATTCATTATTTCTCTCTTAATTCTCTCTCTTGATTTTGACACTTACCTTAATTTAGTTAGTAGGAAGATCAGTTGGAACTAAAATTTGATTTGTCAAAAATAAATATAACCTAATCCCTACTCTCAGTCGGTCGATGGGAGCAAGCTCCTTATCCCTTTACCCCTAATGTCGAAGAGTAGAACCTCCCCCCCTCCATTTACCGACCACCCCACCGCTATTGTTTTCCCTGTGCTGCCCCACCACCTTACTTGTCTCAGGAGGGACATCTCGGTTCCCCTCCATGCCTCGTTTTTCAGATCGTTTTTGAAGCCTTGAAGGACATTTTACTTCAGTTGTTTGTGTGACTCTCACCTGAAGTTGGATGTTCTGCAGCGTGCGTGTTTGTATGCTTTTTAACTTCTAACAATTGTTGAAGATAGAAATTGATATTCCATTTCATCTTCCACCAAAAGTGTTTGAAGCTATACACAGATCTCCTCAGGTAATAATCTTAAGTATATTTTCTTCCACTTCATAATTCCCTTCTAAAATAGGTGGAGAGGAGGTATTCTGTGCGGTTGCTTGGTCTTCCTCCTTCGTCGTCCCCCTTTTGGGTTTTTCTCCCCTTCCCTGTCACCTTGGGTTCTAGGGGGATTTTGTGTTCGGAGTTACCCAAATGGCCGTGGCATCAAACAAGAAAAAAGAAAAAGAAAGAAGAATTTAGAGATACAGTCCGGAGCAACAATTTGTTCATTGTATCTACCATTTGTTCACTGATCATGAGCTCAAGGTGTTCTACCTTACTAAAATTTCTTCCATCCCCCTACCCTACCCCCCCCCCCCCCACACACACACACACACATGTCCTACAACTATTTCACTTAAATTTCACATTTAACTCATCTGGTACCTAAAAAGTATAATGTCTTTTGGAAACAGGTTTTGTGGTTATTAAACTTGGATAATTTATATATATATATATATATATATATATATATATATATATATATATATATATATATATATATTTGGAGATAAAGCATGTATATCATGTCCTAAAATAAAGGATCTCAAATTGTATCTTATATATATCATCAAGGAATACATAAGGAGGGACGTGGAGTCTTTCAACAGGTGGGAATTGATTGTGGAGAATCTTTTATCCCGATGGTAAAACCGGCTACTATTCGAACGATCCTTAGCATTGACATCTCTCGTTTTTGGCCGATTCACCAACTCGACGTCAACAATGCTTTTCTTCACGGTTATTTATCTGAAACAACGTTTATGCATCAACCGGCTGGTTTCGGGACTCGCGTTTTCCTGATCACGTGTGCCGTCTTAAACTTCCCTCTACGGGTTAAAACAGGCACTGATGGCTTATTACCACGGTCAGGAAAAAGCTTACATACTTTTATATGTCGATGGCATTATCCTTACTACATCGACCGATCCGGTTCATGGCCCAACTCTCATGAATTTTCTATGAAAGATCTAGACTCTCTAAGTTGTTTTTTTTTTTTTTTTTTTTTTTTTTTTTTTTTTTTTTGAGATCGTTGTCTCCAAAACAGTCTCTGGTTTACATTTATCTCAACATAAATATGCCTTCAAAATCTTAGAACGGGTACGAATGTCAAATTGTAAGCCTGCAGCCACACCGGTTGATACATAGAGAAAACCAAGTGCTAACGTTGGTCCACTTATTGATGACCCAACTTCTTATCGAAGCATGGTCAGGGCACTTCAATATTTAATATTCACGAGACACAATCTGATGTATACCATGCAACAAATCTGAATGTATATGCATGCACATTGAGCGCCACATCTACATGCACTCAAGCGGATTCTACAATATGTTTAAGGGACTATCTCATTCGGTCTAACCATTCATAAGTCCCCCATTCCTTCACTAATAGCCTATACTAATGTCGAGTAGGCCGGCTGCCCAGATACTTGACGCTCCACTTCGGGATATTATGTTTTTCTCGGAAATAATCTGCTATCTTGGCCGCCTAAGCGACAAACCACTCTATCTCGATCAAGTACAGAGGCCGAATACCGCGGTGTGGCAAATGTTGTGGCATAATTGTGTTGGATTCCAAATTTGCTTTTGGAGCTTAATCACCCACATTCTCGCACCTCTATTGTTTATTGTGATAACATTAGCACAATTTATTTGACGGCCAACCAGTCCAACATCAGTAAACGAAACACATAAAATTAGACATACATTTTGTTTTGGAGAAGATTCAACGCGGGCACGTTCGGGTATATCATATACTATCTCGTTATCAAATTGTTAGTATTTTTACTAAAGGATTACTTCGGGTTTTATTTGATGGTTTATCTTAAGTCTCAACATCTGCTCACCTCCCGTTTCGACTGCAGGGGTATATATATATATATATATATATATATATATATATATATATATATATATATATATATATTTGGCGATAAAGCATGTATATCTGGTCCTAAAATAAAGGATCTCAAATAGTATCTTATATATATCATCAAGGAGTACAGAATGAGGGACGTGGAATCTTTTTATACGCTTCTAATGGTTTTGGATTACGACACCATGTTGCATGAATTGCATTTTTCTACTTTGCAGGGTGTTGGTCTTATGTTACTTGCAACATAAATGATGATTTTGGATTTCAATACACCGAATAATGTGTTGATGATGTAGAAAACTTAACGGTAGTTAAATTAATACCATGCATTGGAACTTCCATGTTTGATGATGATGAAAAATTAATCTGAGATCAAGTATGGTAGTGGTGAGGAAAGTGATTGCGATGGAGGAAGATTGGACGGATCTAGATTGTGGTGGAGAAGTCGATCATGCAAAAAGGGTTGAGTAACTAAGGACCGACAGTACTTGCAGCAACAGAGTGGGGAAGTGAGGAAGATGATGAAAGGGGAAGTGTAGGATTAATAGCCTGATTATTAGAACTTCACAAATATATGTACGTGAATTTGATGGAGAGAAAATAGAATCACTCTTGGATTATGAATGTGTACAAGAGGTAAAACGAAGTGAGATACATAAAAGCTACTTACTTTATTCTAACAACTAATGGCTATGTGAACCAAAAAACTAGCAAAAATAATAGGTCTTACTTGACCACTTCTACCTAAGAGCATCCATAATGCAAGTAGTATAAGAGTTTAATAGGGTGATGACTAGGATTGAATAAGAGTTGAATGGAGTGTGGGTGATGACATGGAATAAGAGTTGAATGATCATTGAATGGTTCAGTAGAAGGAATAAAGTGGTGATTAGGATTGAGTAGGTGTTTAATGAGTTGTGTTTGGTATTGTATAGATGTTTAATGGATGATGTGGCAATCCATTTAACTCTATAGAATTCAATGGATTGTGGATGCCCTAAAGACCAATACCATCTAATGACTTGTATATCTAGTGACTCATTCTCTCCATGTGCACTTTTACAAAGTCAAAGTCCATATAATTGGTCAAATACTACTTCTAACTTACTAAATTACTAACTAAAAGACATAAAATATAAAATCATGGAACAATTATTAAACCATAGTTTCAGCCATGCACGTGAGTATGTGATAATTAAACCGATTAATCCAACAATCACCCCCTTAATCGGTTTACTCATATCCTTCACTCACAGGAATGCTGAAACACCGTCAAAACAACCTTCAGCAAGAAGCGGTACGTAGGTGGTGGGGCCCCTATGGATAGTTATAAAGATGTTTAATAATACAAAAGCAAAATAGTTATTTAATAAGGCTTGACTGATTTATATTAACGGTGTGAGTAATAGACCATGAAATAGGGACCAAAATTGCAAAACAATTTAATGAACCTAAACCAGTAAAACCAGATAAACACATAAACTCAGGGGACCAATTTTGTAATATAGTCTGAAAAATATCATTTTTACGTATTTGTGTAAGTGCGTGTATTTTGCATACCTATTGTAGGAGATTTCTAATTATATCTGTTGTGATATTTGCAGATTGATGTTATAGTGAATGGGGAGATTTTAGAGGAGCATGGTAGTATTCCTGACGTTGGATTATCAAATCATCCGAAATTTATTTTTCATCACCTTAAAGAACTTAAAGTATGGGGCTGTAAGGATGTTGAAGTGGTGTTTGAGATGGAGAGTTCCAGTAGCAGTCGCACAGATTTCACAACAATTCTGCATAATCATCAACCACTACTACTACTTCCCTATCTCAATGATTTATATTTACGAGATATGGAGAGGATTAGTGATGTGTGGAAGTGCAACTGGAACAAACTTGTAATTCCTCAAAACCAATCACAATCCTCATTCCACAATCTCACAAACATATACATGAATAATTGCAATAGCGTAAAGTACTTATTTTCACCTCTCATGGGCAAACTTCTTCCCAACTTAAAGGAGGTAAGGATATATTCTTGTGATGGTATTGAAGAAGTTGTTTCAAATAGAGATATTGATGAAAATGAAGAAATGGAAGGTACATCTACTCACACAAACACCATATCCTTCCCTCATCTTGAAAGCCTCGAGCTTCATTTTCTGCCAGTGCTAAAGAGTATCGATGGCGGTACTACAGTCACAACTACTTCCACCCATGATCAGTTCAAGGTATGATTTCTTTTAATTGGATCCTTTACATTTTCAATTATTAGGTTTTTGTTTTTATTATTATATTATCTTTTCCATTAGTTGCATTATATAGCTCCATAAGCTAACTCTCAGAAGCTGGAAAAGACAATAAATAACTACATACCTAATTTATTATAGTTTATTCGTTTGTATAGGCCATTAAAGTGATTCATGATAAGCATGTTTATAAATCATATCAAATGCATTTTTTATCCTTTTTTTGTTAAATTGACGAAAATGAATGGTGGATTTAGACCCGATTGTGAGGGAGAGAAAAAAATTGATTGATAGATGCATATAAGCCATATCAACATTATTCTTGATTTTTTTGCTAAGTAATATGAAAATTGCTACACAAATGATTTTCTTGATGTCTTTTTTGTTGATGCACTTTTTTTATCGTCTAGCTTGCTAGTTTGGCTTAATAAAATTCGGTTTGTTGTTTAAAAGAAGAGTAAATTACATGAATGGTCCCTATGGTTTGGGGTAATTTTCGCGCTTGGCCCTAACTAATTTTTTTTTAACTCGGAAGGTTCCTACTGTTTGTTTTTGTTACGTGTTTGGTCCCTGTCTTACATAGGAAAAAATGATGGGGTAGGTAAGGTAAGGTAAGGGGGGTGGGGTGGGGGTGTGTTTATTTAAATAAATTAAAAAATCAAGGGCAAAAGAGTATTTTTAGGTAAATACAATATGCGGCAAAAGACCCGGTTTACAATTTTTTTTGTAACAGAAAAGTGTTATTTTAAAAATATTAAATTTATGACATTGAACTATCATAGAGTCAAACGTCAAGATTTTCGATTATGAGAAAATCTCAAGATCTTCATTTCCCAAGCCTTTATTGAACAAGACTCCTTAGTAAAAAAATTGTTCTAAAAGTGCTTTCTATTCATAATATTAGAATTAAGACAGGTTTTACAATATACAATCTAACGAACAATTAATAAATGGACATGTACGACGTATTTGGGATTGATTTTCAAAACATCTTATCGACTTATTAGCTTTTTGAAAAGTCAATCAGTCAAAAAAAATGTTTGGCAACCCCAAAAACAGTTTTCAAAATAGTTTTTCCATTAGCTTCAAAAAGAAGATTTTAAAAAACATGTAAAACCTGATTTTTTGAATTTCTTTTTAGTTTTTTAACCACAATAGATTAAAAAAGGAGATTTTAAGTCAAACAGATTTTAACTTATTAATTTATTGACTTTTAACAAGAAAAAAGTTAATCCAAACATATTTTAAAAAACTTATTTTGCCACCACCATAAGATAACAAGGTGGTGTTTGTTTTTGAAGAGGTAAAATGTTTTCGGTGTTCTTCAATGTGTACCGAATAAAATGTGGGCTAAAAATCTTTTTCTATAAAAAAAAAGAAAGCTGGTGTTGGTGGAGGTGGAGATGGTGAAAGTGGTGGCGGTAGGGGGAGGTGGGGGTGGGGGCGAAGGTGGTATTGGCGGCGAAGGTGGTGGCGATGAGCGGCGGTGGTGGCAACGGTGATGTCAACATTGGTGGTGGCAGAAGAAATATCACATATGGTTAGAACTTAAAAAACATCTTCCAAAATCAAAGGTTATTTTTTTTCCTTTTGGGAAAAGAGGTCAAAAAGATTTTTTTGTATATTTTTCTCCTATAAAACAGTCTTTTCCTCAAATATTTTCCACCCGCAGACATAAGAGATTTAAAAATGTTTTGCCAAAAAACAAACACCACGTAAGCATGTTTGCCCAAAAACATTTTTGAAGTTCAAAAAACAATCCCAAACAACCCCTTATTTTTAGATACACTGATATCGATAAGAGTGATTATTTTATATCATGGAGTTTGCCTTCTCAATAATTCTATATTGAGAAAATACTAAAATATTTTCGTTTAGATGTAACACACATTTGATGGAAGACTTAGAATAAATTAATTATTAATAATGACTGATAAGATGCTAACGTTTGCATTTTAAATTGCTCTTCCTTTTGCCATTGTGTCCTAAATTAACTGTTCATTTTAGTTAAATTGTTTAAACAAGAAGAAGATGATTTAATCAGTGCAAGTACGAAAATATAAGCATATTGATTGCCAACTCATTTCCTAATAATAATTTTTCAAGTAAAGTTATGTTTTTATTTTCCTACATGGAGGGGGTAATAGGTTAAAGAGTGCAATGTCATCTATTTTCTCTTCATAAATCATGGCACTATACTAATTTTGAACTGGGCAATATATAGAAAAACCACTATATTTTGATCATTTTTTTCAGTTTATCCATTCTACTTCAGTTTGTCTCATGAAAGCCACCCAAGTTTGGGGATATATTCTATGCCAACCACTTTAACCTGCAATATCTGGTTAAAGTTGTCACAACAGAAAATGTTTGTCAAAATTGAGTGGCTTTAGTGAAATTAATTGGACTAAACTTTGACAACCTTTTCAATTTTGACCACTTTAATGAGCTAAAAATGAAATGGGGTTGTTAAACCACAAAAAATGGCCAAAATATAGTAATTTTTCTGTATATTACCTTAGTTGTAGGAAGCACTTGTGTTTGTAAGCACATTTATAGAAACAAAATTTGTGTTAACTTGTAGTGTGTATGTGTGTAGCAAACAAGTAAGCTTTGTTTATTTAAGCAGATCCATTGATTTTTCATGTGTTGTAGCGTTCTCAAGTCGATGTTGCTTCTTGGTTCTTATGCCAATACACCAAAAAGATTGATATACTTTGCTGTGATGCCCTATCAAGAGTGTTTCCACCCTACCTAGTGGGGCAACTGCATAAGATTGAAGAGTTGAGTATATCAGGATGCAATTCAATGATGGTGATATTTGAAAGTGAAGGGGTCAACAATGATGGTGTTCATAGTAGGAATGTTGGTCGTGGAAATGATGATACAACTTGTAGTGCAATCACCATCCCAAGGTCGGCAAATATGACTTTGCTTCAATTGCCTAACCTAACGATATTGAAAATAAAAAATTGTGATGTTTTGGAATATATATTCACAAGTTCCACACTTGAAAGCCTCAAGCAACTCAAAGAATTGACTGTAGAAGAGTGCAAGGCAATGCAAGTGATTGTGAAGGAAGATGGAGACCACACAGAAACATCAACAACTATAGTCTTCCCTCGTCTGAAGTCTCTTACACTAGTAGGTTTACCAGATCTTAAGGGTTTCTTCTTGGGGATGAATGAGTTCAGATGGTCAGTATTAGAAAAGTTTAAGATGTATGGCTGCCCACAAATGATGATTTTCACATCTGGCCACTCGATGGCTCCGAAACTCAATTACATACATACAGGGTTAGGCAAGCATAGTCTTGAATGTGGCCTCAACTTCCATTTGACCAATACTACACATGAGGTATGTTGTTACTTTACTTCATCATATAACCAGGTCAGCATATGTGTCGTTTTATGATGTTTAAAATATTATTTGCTTAAAAATTTTGGTGGTTCATATGTGTATTCCAGAAGGAAGTACAAAACAAAACCAAATGAAGATACATAACCACTTCCCTTTTTTTATATCCATAAAAAGTTACGAAAATATGATTTTTTTTAATTATACATTAATATTTCATTCCTAAGATATTAAGTTGCCTCTGATGATATGAAAGATATGCTATATTCACTCACTAGGTGTGAGACCCATATATTACATGAGTTTATTTAGAAGAAAAATTAAATATGAAATTCTAAACATTTGAAAAGTTTGAATTTATAAGAAAAGTGAAAAAAATATTGAATTATTAAAACTAAAGTGTTTTTTATCTTTTAAATTTAAACAAATAATTTAGATAAATAAACAAAGGAAACTAATGAGACTTTAATTTAGTAATTTTAAAATTAGAAGAAAAGTTGATTAATGAATATGATATGCATTTATTATTACATTTAAATAGTATATGAAATATAATAAAATGGAAAAAACTAAAATGACATGTGGAAAAAATATAAAATGACAATAATAAGAAAAAGCCATGTAGCACCATTAGAAGATAACAAGTGGCAAAATCATTTTTATTTATTAAGAAAGATTATAAGTTAACCACTTAATATTTAAATGGGCAAATGACATAAAAGACCTTACGTTTGACAGAAATGTTCGGTTTTTTCCTTTTGCGTATTTTTGGTTCTATAAAGCAGAAGGTTTGCAACTTTTTTTTTTTTTTTTTCAATTTGGCCATTTTTGCAGGTTTACCCAGTAAAACTGAACATTTTTGCCAAATGAAGGGCTTTAATGAACCAAAAAGAAAAGGTAAAAATGAAACATTTCACATTTCTGTCAAATGTAACGGCTTTAATGAATCAGAAACACGCAAAAAGGTAAAATTGAAAAAAAAAGTTCAAACTTCTGGTTTATACACAAAAGGGTAAAATTGAAATAAAAAAGTTGCAAACTTCCAGACTTTAATGAACCAGAAATACACAAAAGGGTAAAACCGAACATTTATGTCAAATTTAAGAGTTTTTATGTCATTAGCCTTATTTTACATAATGAACCAGAAAAAAGGCTTCTAAAACCAACATCTTCTTTCGTTTAAGAAAAAAACACAAAATAGATGGAAAGAAAAGCATTACCTTATTTCACATAGTTTCACTCATACATTCACAAACAGATATTTGTATGCAACTATATTTTCTTATTAAATCATTTATATCGTTTTAATCCAATTCTCTAACATTTATGTAGTGTTTAGTAATTACTAAAATTTTACGAAAATAGTGTAAAAGAATAAGTCTATCATCCATATGTCGTTTGCGTTATTTGAGTGTGCAATAAAAAAATATAAAAAATACAATAACATAATTATCTGTTTTCTTAATAAAACCGGATGTAATTGTTCTGTAGATGAATGCAACTATAACTAAACAAGTACATGAAAAATTACCTTTTCGAAGTTTCCGATACACTCATCTTTTACTTCTTAATTTATTTTGTTTTGACCTCCCCCCATCTAACAAAAAAAAAAAAAAATGTAATTATTATTTTTATTTAAACAGACTAGACATTGATAACAATCTAAATTGTTTGAACAAATACAATAGACAAATCTGAATTTTGTTTCAACCCTTATCCCCACATTGCTCATATTCACAAAAAATAATGTAAGTAGTGCCATAAACTAGGTTGTCGATTGGAAATACATTTTGGTTCATTGAAGAGAACGTGTTCTAGTGAGTTCCACCTATTTGGGTGAGACTATTATTTTAGTGAATTGTCCCATTGGACTTGGTCTAAGTTCCATTTTGTTCTTGTTATAGGCATGCCAAACACCATATATACCAAATGTAATTTTCTTTTATAATAATTGGCATGTGTGATGATCTATGCTTGTTTTTTCTTAGCAGACTCAACTCCGTATGTGCTCTACTCCATACATGAAAAAGCTGTTTCAGTTCTCTTGGTCTTTTTCAAATTTAGTTGAAGTCGATACACAATGGTTTGACAAACTGTTGAAAAGCCGCATAATTTTTCCATGCAACGAGTTGCTGAATCTGAAGAATCTTGAAAAGATTTATATTACCAAATTACCCACTTATTCTAAATCCACAATAGAGGAGGTATTTGAAGTATTACAAGGAACAAGCAATGATGCGAAAGAAACACATTCTGTTGTGGTAGTTCCAAAGCTAAAGGAGGTGGCTCTGGATCGACTAGATAAACTAAAACATATGTGGAAGATCAATCAGCAGATAGTGTTGAACTTTCCAAACCTTACAAAGGTGTCAATTAAAAGATGTCCACGTCTTGGACACGTTTTCACGTGTTGCATGGTTGGTAGTCTATTGCACCTGCAAGAGCTACGGATAAGTGACTGCAGGAATATGGATGTGATTGTCAAGCAAGTTGAAGATTCCGAAATTAGACCCACCGAGGTTGTGTTCCCTTGTCTAAAATCCCTAACACTTCACAACCTTCCAAATCTTAAGGGATTTTTCCTGGGGAAGGAGGCTTTTGAATGGCCATTGTTAGAGGCTTTGGAAATCAAAGATTGTCCAAAAATAACAGTTTTCACAAATGGGCAATCAACTACTCCGGAGCTGAAGTTAATGGATACAACTTTTGGATTGTGTCATGTAATGGAAGACCCAAACTCTTTTATAAAGACCAAACAACAAGAGGTATGTGGTGTCTCATTTGGTTATTATTAACAGATTAATGTTTTCTCCAACAAAAAGTTTACATTAGTCTCCAATTTACAACTTGTTGTAATCTCCTACAGGGATGGCAGTTCTAGTGAAATTTCAAATTAATTCACACATGCTGTTTGGTGCACTTTAGAGTTACCATAGGTAAGATTATATCGTACACTTGTTTCCTTCATCCTAATCATGTCCATGTTTCTCTACCTTAATTATCTGATTGAATTGACTTGATGCCATAATTGCTTGCTTACTCTTTCAATCCAGGTTATTGAACTTCTAGTTTCAACCAATCTCATGTATGATTAAGCTGTCACCAGCTTGGCAATATTTACACAAGTTTTTTTGATTGGTTTCCACATATTCCAATATGTTAAATAATGCATAAATTCAGGGGTTGAAGGTGCATAGAATGACAATCAGTAGATGAAACTTACTCAGTTCATACCGGGCAAGAAAGAAAGAAAAAGCATGAACCTAATAGAAACCTAATTTTCTATAACATAAAAGTACCCTTAATTTAACAGGTCTATGATGTTTATTTTTTTATGAACACCAAGTGTTTAATAGAATTCCTCAATGAAAAAACATCCACAAACTTTCGATTCCTCTTGTAAGTTGAGATATTAATGTTTGTTTTGTATATAAGCAATTCATTCTTGAAGAAGCGAGTCCCTTTCTCTCTTGAGGTTTGAGCGTGTCAATAGTTCGTTGACTTCAAACGCTTCACAAGCACAATTAATGCGGTTTAGTTGCATTCGAGGTTGTTGCAGAAGTTCCTATCTATATCTAATGTATTGAGAGGCAATAAATAGTATATCAAGAACAAGGACTAATATATTATTAAGTTGTGGAGACTAATTTACCCATTGACCCTATCGCCGCTAGCTGGCAGACCTTGCATGTGGTCCCGCTCATTAGTATTTATTTGCAATTTTTGGTCAGCTCACAAGTATTTATGGGATTCGCCTTACTGGAAGATACACCATTAGTTCCTATATCAGATATGCCGCTAATTAAATTTCATCATCTCCGGTTTTTGATAGAGTTTCTTGGCTTTATTGACAGTGTAAACTCGATAATATTTATATTCCATGAATTCATGTAACCTAACGTACGCAAGTTATAACCTAACGTACGCAAGTTATAGGGCAAAAATAATGAAATCTATCTCTCGTGCTTTCCCTTGGACGTAGTGAATCATTTTGATCATGTGCACCATGTAAATTCTTTGTGTTCTTATTTTTTTGGTTTTGTATTTATTACTGTGTGAAATCGCCTGAAACATTTGTTAAAGTGCTTAGACTCTAACACTTGGCGTCAAAGCTATGGCTGAAGACGAGAAATGTATGATCAACAAATTTGAAGGTCAAGATTTCGGGTTCTAGAGAATGCAGATCGAATATTACATTTACCGGAAGAAGATATATGAACCCTTGGTTGAAAAGAAACGAGAAGCGATGAAGCACGATGACTGGAATCTACTGGATCGGCAAGTTCATCAATGGAAAAGAACGTAGCTTACAATATGGTCAATGAGAAGACTATATGCGGCATGTTTAGCGCGTTATCCAATATGTATGAAAAACCCTCAACAACGAATAAGGTGTTTTTGATTCGGTGGTTAACACGGAGATAAAGGAAAGAGGCTCTATGACTATTCATGTCAATGTGTTCAATTCAGTAATATAAAGATTGATATTTGTTGATATTGAGTTCATTGTTGCTATTGTCTTCAGTTCCTGAGAGTTGGTCCGGAACTGTCACGACTGTAAGTAGTTTATCTGGAACTACAAAACTCAATTTTAAAGGTTTAGATGCCATTTTATGCATTTTTATTAGTTTTTAATGTCATTATGCACCGTATTTTATGCATTTGTGTTTGTTTTAGTGTCATTAACTAGATTATGACACGCGTTAAACGCGGGGGAACGCATATAAAAAACATACAAATGTCCATAGAACTCTTAAAATGAATATTAAATTCTTGAATACATATATTAAAAAAATTAATATCATAAAACAAAATAAAACATGACTTGAAGATTAAAACTATAAATAAAAAAACAAAATATTTAATCATAAACTAATATAAAATATTAAAATATATGCATGAGAAAAAAACAACGGTTTTCGAATGCAATTTGAAATAAAAACAATCACATATTTCTATTTGGTATAGTAACTTTCTCAAAACATGAACAAAATGAAAATACTTCATGCGCATGATGTGCGTGAACGACATGCTGAATCGTATTTCCTTTAAAGAAATAAAGGAGATTGTTTCGATAAAACCACCATTCATTTTCACCGACATTGTAATTAGTAACAATCGATTCTATTGAAAACCCAAATAGTCCATGAACAATCTCCACTTATAGAAAAACATCCCAATTTTCCATCAAACTTGATAAGCCTCGATGCATAAGAGTTGATATCATTAGTAATAGAAGGTGAAAATATCACTAAATATTCCTCCGAATATACATCGAAAATAGTAAAATGCATAATTTACCTCTTGATCAACTAAAATCATGTTCAAGCTCCCAACCATTTCTGGGTTGTTTTTATAGGTTTGCTTCCAAAGCAACACGACTTTACACGGATGTTCCAACATTCTTTTGATGCATTGATCTCAACAACCTTATCGAAGATCAGTTGAGAAGCATTATTCTCTGCCATCGTATTGTATTATCTAGATTGAAAAGAGAAAAAAGTTAAAGGATTTATGATATGGATTAACAAAAAACGTATACATGTATTTATATAGTGTAAAAAAGTATTAATTATAGTATGCAATAATAACAATATCTCTATGATATTTTCCATTTTATTAATTCATACTAAAAATAAAACAAACATCTTTTTAGGAATGTATAAAATTAATTAATTATAGTATGCTATGACATTTATTGTAATATCGTTTCTATACTTAAGAAAGTTCTTAATTATAGTATGCTATATATATATATATATATATATATATATATATATATATATATATATATATATATATATATATATATATAGACTGTAAAATATCATTACAAAAATAAGTGTAAGAATACCAAAAATAACAATATCTCTATAATATTTCCATTTTATTAATTGATACTAAAATAAAACAAACATCTTTTTAGGAAGGTATAAAACTAATATAATAACCACAAATTTTATATATAATAGACATATAATTCGTCAAATTTTATATATAAACTTCTAAACCTTACAATTCGTCAAATTTTAAATCAGTCTATCTATTCTAAACTTCTAAACATACAATTCGTCAAATTTTACTAACAAAAGAGTAAAACAAACATCTTTTTAGGAATATATAAAACTAATTATATTTATTAATTCATACTAAAAATAAAACAAATCTTTTTAGAAATGTATAAAATTAATTAATTTTAGTATGCTATGACATTTATTGTAATATCGTTTCTATAATTAAGAAAGTTCTTAAGTATAGTATGCTATCAATATATATATATATATATATATATATATATATATATATATATATATATATATATATATATATATATATATATATATATATATATATATATAGACTGTAAAATATCATTACAAAAATAAGTGGAAGAATACCAAAAATAACAAATATCTCTATAATATTTTCCATTTTATTAATTGATACAAAAAATAAAATAAACATCTTTTTAGGAAGGTATAAAACTAATATAATCTTCACAAGTTTTATATATAATAGACATATAATTCATCAAATTTTATATATAAACTTCTAAACCTTACGAGTAAATGCATGAAAATGTTAAATCAGTCTATCTCTTCTAAACTTCTAAACATACAATTCGTCAAATTTTACTAACAAAAGAGTAAAACAAACATCTTTTTAGGAATGTATAAAACTAATTATATTTATTAATTCATACTAAAAATAAAACAAATCTTTTTAGGAATGTATCAAATTAATTAATTTTAGTATGCTATGACATTTATTGTAATATCGTTTCTATAATTAAGAAAGTTCTTAATTATAGTATGCTATCAAAATAAAAATAAAAATAAAATATATATAGACTGTAAAATATTATTACAAAAATAAGTTGAAGAATACCAAAAATAACAAATATCTCTATAATATTTTCCATTTTATTAATTGATACAAAAAAATAAAACAAACATCTTTTTAGGAAGGTATAAAACTAATATAATCTTCACAAATTCTATATATAATAGACATATAATTCGTCAAATTTTATATATAAACTTCTAAACTTTATGGGTAAATGCATGAAAATGTTAAATTGGTCCATCTCTTCTAAACTTCTAAACATATAATTCGTCAAATTTTACTCATAAAAGAGTAAAACCAAGAAAGAAAACAACAATACCTCCTGTATGATCACTCCAAACCAGAGCCTTATTACCGCCATACTTCACCACCATCACATGTTCTGAAAAAACAACATTATTTTCCAACACTAAATAATTGAAACAATAAATAAAATGATAATCAAAAAATATATGAAAGAAAGCATATTCTTAAAAATCTGAAACAACACTAAAGTTCCAACACCAAGCACCTTAAATCCTGATTTTCATTTAAGGTTTAGCCAAATCTCAGTGTAAGTTGGGTCTATGTTACTTAGCAATCCATGAAAAAATCGAATCACCTGGTATAGCTAAGTGAGATCACTGTAACCACAAGATCCTTTCCTTTAGCAAATCCATCCTTAATCTGCACAATTTTTAAACAAAATTTATTATTTATATAAATTATATTTAACAATTTCAAGTGAACTTTCCATCTTATATTACTAATTACTAACCTGTGTAAGCAGACTATCATCAGTTGGAAGCTCTAGATCATCCTTAGTGCCACCATTTTCAGTCAACAGACTCACCTATAATAAATCCATTGTTTATAAAATACACACAAAATATAAACCAAAGAAAGTAAAGGGGAAATGATTAAGATAAGAGACACGTACGAATCCATCTTTAGAAACTTATCCTAGATCCTTGGAATAAGAATCTTCATCTGCAAAAAGCTTAGTCTCGAGAGCATGATCATAGGGATGTGGATCATGTTCCATCTCATTTCAAGTTGATACCAAATCATTGACACTGGAATCGCATACAACATCAGTTCCACAATAAAATTTTCATCAATCTCATGAATCCCATCTACATCATCAATGTTATCAGGCACATCGTTTCATTCAATACTACTAAGAGTGTCGCTGGAACCCACTCGGGTTCCTGGTTCTTCAGTTTCAACCACACCAAATTTAGCACTCAATAGAAAATCAATT